AAACTGTAAGTTCTTCAACTCATGAAATTAAGTGAAATAATCGATGTTACTCGCATTAAAGAAGTACATATATATATATGTGTGTATGTGTGCAATTGTCACAGCTAATTTCTAATATTTTGTTAACTTGGTCAAAAATATTAATGAAATTGAAACTTACATGTAATCGTAGTTTTTTTTTGGGAACATTTTTTAAGATAACGATTCAAAAAAAAAATATTTTGAGACACAATCTCTATGATAATAAGTATACTTCACTTAAGAAGTTCTTGTCATTTTTACAGTGCTACATGTATCTGAGATTATTAATTACGTATAATCGAAAACCATAATTGTAATAGAAAATATCATCTTTTTTCAGGATATCAGATAACTTTCTGCACATTTTCCAGAAAGAGATGTTAATTCTGTGATTCATAAGCTGGATTGTATTTTGGAGATGTACAAGTCGTAAGACCTATCTACATTGGCCACTTTTTGAGACTCTCTTTAACAAAATTGAAAAAAACCATCGAATTTTTCCATTTTTCTTCGAACTCCTTTATGATTTTCCGTGGATAATGACAAACGATCCATAAAATAAACAAACACATACGTCAGAGACTTTCAATACGTATACCGCAGTATAAAATGAATTATACATTGAGCCATTCCTGACATCGTGATTACCACCACCACTACCACTCCAAACTAATCGAACACTGAAAAGTTCCACTACTCCCATCGATTACAATGTTTGGTGAGGCCACGTATTCACTCGTAGCAAATACAAGTTACTTTTACTTCTACTCTCTAAATTCGACAGCCAATCTACTTCGACCCACAAGTTTTTTTTTCCCCTACTCTACTTGCGTTAACACGTGCTCGACCAAGTGCCTTTTTCCCCTACACCAGCAAGTTTGAGATATATTTGGTTTCCTTTAATATTTTATTCACGAGTGTTCAAACTATGTATTGATCTTGCGTATGCAGTATGTCGATATGTTTACAATAGAAAGATTTTGTCGTAAATGGTTAATAGAAAATAAGCGATTAGTAAAGACAGGTCGACATACCTGCACGTTACGAAATCCGTTTAAATTCTCTTTGCACTATTGGGTATTACTAAAGATACAGAAGGACATCTATTATTAAATAATGGATGACTTAATGTTTTAAAATCTTACTTATTTTGAACTTCAAGGAACATCAGTTTTTCAGAACGAATTGAAAGTTTCGAATTTTTACTATTACATAACAGTTATCCAAGATTTCAAGAACCCAATCAATGACGTTTGATGGTGATATAATTTTTAACGAAAACCGTGTCAAGCAATCGATTTATACTGTAGATCTAAAACATATGTAAACTAAACTTGATGGGTGTGTCTTTGCTTTTGTTAGATAGAAATTTGAATTAATTACATATTGTAAAGTATGAATTGTAGATTGTAAGATGGTAGTTTTTAGGATGTGAATCAAAACCTAAGAAATTGTTGCTGTTGCCTTGCTTAGTAGCCACGTCATCTAGAGCACATCCTGTTGCACAACACCGTGTTTGTCCACGCACGAGGCGAAGACAACGTCGTCGCAGACACCCTGTCTCAACCCAACGACGCTCTGGCAACACCAACCAACGGCCCGTCTGTTTTAGCTATCCAGAGCAACCCTGCAGCCTCTGGCCATCGTACCCCGCCATTAGTCATCGCTCTCAACCCAGCCACAAAAACCATCTCCATGCCGAGCCTGCTCGACGCGGCAACCATTACAGAAGCACAGGCCGCAGATGACGAACTGACAAGCCTCGACAGCTCCTGTCTGAGGCTCCAAGCTATCAATATCGACGGACACTTAATTTACTGCGAGGTAATCAACAACACTGTCAGGCCCTACTTGCCAGCTCCCCTGCGCCGCAAAGCTTTTGACATTGTTTACGGACTGTCACACCCAGCTTGCAAGACAACTGCCCCCTGTCCAATGGGATGATTGAAAGGTTTCATCGCACTCTTGAAGCCGCTTTAAGGTGATTCACACAGTTCTGGCTAGATGCCCCGCCAACGGTGATGCTAGGTTTGCGCACCAGCTTTAAGGAGGACCTGCAAGCTTCACCCTCAGAGATGCTGTTCGGCACAACGTTTCGCATCCCTGAAGAGTTCTTTACAACTGCTACTGCACAGGCAAACTCGTCCGCCGTTATAAATAGCCTCTATCAGTTGTTCGATAGCATTAGGCCCGTACCAGCTTCTCGGCACGTCATCCAGCACCTATTCTGGTACAAAAACGTGTAGATTGCATCATGAAACCCCTTAAGCTGCCCTACAAGGGCCCCTACCGGACAATCCGCCGCAACGACGACCGCACCCATGTAATCAATGTCGACAAAGAAGACAGTGTCAACAGACCAGCTAAAACCACCCTACTTAGAAGCTTCGGACATGGAACAGGCCCCACAACCTCCTTAACAAGCTGCAACGGCCCAGCCCGACGTCTCTCCACCCCCACTAGCTACCAGCCCTGCAGAAATCGACACCCAAACCACCCCCAGATCAACATCCTGGCAAGACACATCTCGTTCGCAGCGCTACCCGCGTTGGTCTCTAAGAAAAGAACAGATATGGTAGCACCGTCCAGAACGCCTTCGTTACCTTGCGCCCAAACAGGCCGCTCGTGCAGGAAGCAACAGCTAGCCCCAAAAGCCCTCTTCTGCATTGGTGCAGGCTAGCTCTCTCTCACTTGCGTTAACAGCTCCAGCGCCTATACCACTACTACTTGTGCAGTGTTACAATTTACATGGCTACAAGCCTTTTTTCGTACTATAATATAGTTAGTTCCTTTTGTACAGTCCTAAGCTACGACACGTGCCCAGAGCCCTTTGAGCCGTGTCTCCTTTGTAATTATTCTGTTCTACAATAAAGGCAATTCTATGAAGTCTGCATTTGCTCTGAGTCTCTCTACTCAAGCCTGGAATCCTATAGACTATACCCCAAATATCCACGTTTTGCAAGCTTTATCCCAGTCTTATCATTACACATCATTAAATAAAGATACGAAGCTTTACAGGGTAGCGTCATGGGCTCTAAGCAAAAAGAAAACGATACATTAAATTACTGTTACATTAAACTTTGCCTCTGCACTTGTATCGTTTAAAAAACAGCTATTTTACAACCTATTGTTTATTTTCCAAGTCCCTCGACTACTCACAAAGTGACATGATATTCTTTAACCTTTCGAGTCTTTTTTTGTATACTGATAAATCTAAATCAACAAATTCGTGAGCCTGTAGCACTGGTGTATTGAGATAGCAACATCAGAAAATTTTCTGCAATATCTTGTTTATCCGTAAAATACAAAAACTTTTAATTAAAACAGCTTAATTTAGGTCCATTCCCATTTGTAAGAACATTTTTTGTTGAAGTGAGGAATTTAACATGCTTATGTCCCACAACTTAAGCAGCATTTAAGACTTTTAGATAATTTCTAAAGATTCTTTAAAATGCGAAAGAATATTGTTTGCATTATGAACTTGGGTATCCTATGCCATAGAAAAATTAACAACTCTTTATTTTCTTACAGGCTTTATCATAACTATACAGTTTTAAATGGAACCCGACCCCGTACCCCTCATTTACCCGTTTTTCGTATTTTAAACTCAAGACACACTTTTTCATGATCTAGATTCTGTTGTGCCTTCAGGGAAAAATATTCCTGAATTAAAAAAAAGAAAATTCAGATCGATATCTTTTTATACAATGTAAGAAACGACTGAAATACAAAATAAACCGTTTTCGATAAAATGACCCACGTATAAATGAGCAGTAAGTTAGTCTGCATATATAAAACAACATGATCTTGATCTAAAGTTTTCGTAAAAATATTTTTTTAATGCTTGACCCATCATTTATAATTACTTTGTTATATCCTAAGTTCTACTTTAAAGGAAGAAAATACCTCGAATATCTGAGACGTATAATTATTAAGAGTTGCTGATTCGATGGATCTTGCCCAATAATTTGGACTGAGCATCTTTCAATATTTTCAAATGCAGAACGCATAAAGACATCAATTTTAATGTTTATTCGATTGACTGATGTAAATATATCAACAATAACTCTTTTTCAACTATAGCCTCTGACATTTAAAAAAGTGGTAGCGTTTGGACAATACAGTACTACATGTCAAGATAAAAGTTGTTTAAATATACAGGACTTTTTCCCAATGCACCTATTCCCTTAAACCTTGTGGTTAGGAACATATATACAATTATTATCTACCCTACACTTTTATAAAGGTTTCTCTGAACATTGAAACAATCGCTTCTTACATCGGAAATTTCTGATGGTTCATCTTTGTTTCCTGGCATACAACAAAGAACAAACACCATTACAGAGTTGCGGCGTGTAAGAAAACTCATCTCGCCCACGTAGCTCTGCTTATGATATATTTACAATTATTGGTACATGTGCTGTGCGTGTTTTGTTTCACGTTCTTTTTTTATAAATTGTTTTTTGAATTAGACACTGACTTGCTAGTAAGTTCATTATTTCATCGATCGAAGGCTTGCTTTTAGTGTCGATGAAAAATTGCAAGCCAGCTTTTTGCTGGTTCGTGTGCTTGTTGTATTCAACGTCAATGTTGTAATGTTTCCATAAGAACATGGCCATTTTTCTAATAACAAAAATTACAAATATTAAAATTTAATATAAATTTTAAGCTTGAAATAACGGATAGAACTTTAAATTTATAATATTATTAAACTGTCATTGGTGTAAATATTTCGTGTTCTCTAAATAATTTGATAGTTTTTGAATACTGTAATACGATTTTAGTTTTAATACAATTATTTATGCAATGCAAAAACGGATGCATTGTTTGAGATCTCTCTCTCTCTCTCTCTCTCTCTCTCTCTCTCTCTCTCTCTCTCTCTGAGGGAATATCCTGATAATTCCGCCGATGAGTTGAGAGTAACGGGTTTGCCTCTTAATAGGGGGTATGACCTGTCTGAGGTTGCAAACAGAATAATGATGGTTTTGAGTTTGCAGGCCTTTATGTCCGATATTATTAAGGTTCGGCCATTGGTTAGTAAGCGTGTGGAGGGGTTGGGGCTTGGTGGTGAGGGTGGATTTGGCTCATTTGCTATTTGGCTTAAGTCATCTTCGGCACGTGACTTCATTCTGCGAAAAAAAAAAGCGTTCGGTGACTTGAAGTTTACAGACCTCTATCCGGAATTCACTGGCAACAATTTAATAAAGCTTTATCCAATGTTGTCTTCCACTACTTATTCGTTATTATTAAAAACTAAAGCCACAGCAAAAAACCTTAATTACAAGTACGTTTGGGCTAAAGGAAGATATGTTTATGTTAAGCGAGATGATCGGTCGGAGCGCAACTATGTTGCCTCAGAAGATGATTTAAGATCTCTCAAATGATGGTCAAGATCTAATGTTTGTCGAGATGGTGTGGGGGTCCGTGGTTTTATTCGTATCGCTCAACTAAATGCCAGTTCTTTGCGTGAGCATCTTCCCGAAGTGCGCCTTCTTCTCGAGCAGAAAAATATAGACGTGCTGTCGATCTCAGAATCTTGGCTGACACCGCGCCACTGTTCATCGCTTTTCGAGTTGCCTGGTTACACTCTAGTGCGGAATGACAGGAGCCTCAGAACGAACAATTGGAGGCGTGAGTTTATGCAGAGTGGAGGTGTAGCTTGTTATATACGACATGATTTGTCCTTTCGGATTATAGCGACACCGCAAATAACGCGTCTGAATGAAACTGAGTACATGTTATTGGATTTACGGCCTGGAAGAGGGCGACGTATGCTCTTTGCGTCTGTGTACAGGCGTCTGAAGGGTGATGTTCTCACTGATTTTTTTGGCACAATCCAGGCTAGCTCGGGTCGCTTCTCAGATATTGTAATAGCGGGTGACTTGAACTCCGATATGCTGGGAGACGATTACTACGCGCGCCACCTGCGGCGGTTGATTCTTGAGAATTCGATGTACCTCGCGCCTACAGGAGCAACGCACCATTGTCCGTCGGCCGATACTTGGATCGATGTGATAGTAACAAATTCAAGTGAAGTGGTGCGGTCTGTGGTGTCGTCTGATGCTCCATACATCAACGGTCACGATTATTTGTACATAGATTACGCTTTGAGTGAGCCATCGGTGAGGGTTTTGCCACGGATTCGTGAGTTTCGACACTTCTCGGCTGAGGATTTCTCGGCTGCGGTATCGTCGGGGTTGGCAAGGGTCGATGTGGATGATGGTGTGGACGTGGATACATTACTTGGGCACTTCCAGGAGGTATTGAGGTCGTCTCTGGATATCCATGCGCCACTGGTGGAGAGGAGGCAGCGTCGTAGGCCGGCGCCCTGGTTTAATGCGGAATTGCGTGAGCGTTGTAGGGCGCGTGATCGTGTGTATATGATTGCTCGCCGCACCGGTGATCCTGGCTGTCTGCTGCGGTATCGAGGTCTGAGGTCGGCCCTGAAGCGAGACATAAGAGAGGCGCGAGAGGAGTATCTGCGTCGTGCCTTGGAGGGTGCACGGGAGCCATCCCAGCGATGGAGTATTCTCCGTAGATTTGGAATAGTTGGAGGCTCGCAGCGATCACCATTGCATTTTATTTCACCCGTGGTGCTGTCCCGGCACTTCTCGGCGATGTCTTGTACTCACTTGCCGTGCACTGTGTGGGAGCTGGAGGGAATCTTGGGTGATGCTGGTGCCCGGCCTGACGGCTTCTCATTGGCTCCGGTGTCGTTTGTGGGCGTGTCTCAGGCGATGGCACATTGCATGGTTCGTTCACGGGGTAGAAGCTTGGATGGGCTGTCCCTCTCATATTTTCGTGGCTCTTTTGCCGCAATTGTGCCGTTCCTCACCGGCCTTATCAATCGCTCGTTTGAATCTTGTAGGTATCCTGCACCTTGGCGTCGGTCTGTGATTGTGCCGCTCTCTAAGATTGCGCAACCCATTGGCCCTTCTGATGTGCGTCCTGTTGCGAATATGGCGCATTTTGCGAAGGTTCTGGACGTTCTTGTGTCGCGACAGGTGGTGGCTTACTTGGAGGGTCAGAGACTCCTTTCGCCCATGCAATCGGGTTTCCGGAGGGGCCATAGCACGCAGTCAGCTTTACTTAAGTTGACGGAGGATGTTCGCGTTGGGATGGAGGCCGGAAAGGTCACGATTTTGGTGCTGTTTGATTTCAGGCGTGCATTCGATTCCATCAGCCATGTGGTCCTGCTAAAGGCTATGAGCAGGATGAACTTCTCTCCGGACGCTATTAGGTGGTTCCACTCGTACTTGTCTGACCGATCGCAGGCCGTTGTTGGGCTGGATGGGGTGCAGACTGATTTTCTGCCGTGTACGTCGGGTGTGCCTCAGGGCTCTTCTTTGGGACCAATTTTGTTTTTAATTGTAATAGATTCTATTTTGGCGGTGCTGTCTCATAGTACGGGAATACTTTTTGCTGATGATTTGCAGGCGTATATGCAATGCAGGCCTTCAGAGGTTGCTGGAGCTGTGGGTAGGTTCAATGAGGATATCGGGAGGGTTGTAGCCTGGGCATCTGAGTTTGGTCTTCAGCTCCATTTTGGAAAGTTGCGTGCTATGCTTCTGGCTACTTGTCAGAATTTAATGCGAATTGACGTTGACGCCATACCCCCTTTGCTGGCTGATGGGAAGGTGATTCCACTTGTTAGTTCGGTTAAGGACTTAGGGGTGACGTTGTCGAGTGACCTTTCATGGAATGCCCACGTTGCAGCAGTATGCTCAAGGGTACATGGTGTGTTGTATCGTCTCCGGTATCGGGGTGGCACTCTGTCATCCCGACTTAGAGCTGCTCTTGCTGTGAGTCTTGTTATTCCCCACTTCGATTATGCCTGCTTAGTCTACATGGGTCTTTCAGGGTACCTGGCCACCAAGCTCGATCGTCTGTCTAATACTGTTGTTAGGTACATCTTTCGGTTGAGGAGGGATGCATCACTCTCTCAGTACTATAAAAGGCTGGGTTGGTTACGGCCAAGCTTTAGAAGGGAGTACTTTCTTGCTGTGTTTGCCTATAAACTCTTGGCCTCGGGTGAGCCTTCGTACTTGTTCGACTTACTCCCCCGATTTGCGGATGGGCTCCGTTGTTCAGCGCGTCGTGATCGGCCGACATTTATGATTCCCACTGCATCGCTATCGTCATACGCATCAGCCTTTTCGCAGAGACTTATGCGGTTGTGGGATACTATTCCACTAAGTATTAGGCAGGTTGATTCGCTGAACGTCTTTAAGACGACTCTTTACCGTTTTTATTTAGAAAAACAGGGGGACTGACTACTAAGCACGCTTATGTTTAAGATTGTAAGCTTTACTAAGTCATTATGGCAAGACTGAAAATATTTTGTTACGATTAATTATTACTTGTCTTTTTCAAATCTAGCGTATACTGTAAATGAAACTAAAATTAAGTGCGACCTAATGTAAATTAACGAATATATATATATATATAGATTGCTATGTTAAATTGTCGCCGTTCAAACTAAATCAAAATCTGTAAAAATTCTGTAACTTTTGTTTAATACTGTCGATAATATCAATATCAAAAATCTTTGTACTTCAAAAAATTGCCATTCGGGTGTAATGCCCTTGGCATAAATAAATTAGCTTTCAAATCAAAAAATCTCTCCGTCTCTCTCTCTCTCTCTCTCTCTCTCTCTCTCTCTCTCTCTGGATACTTCTTTCAAACAGGTTTAAACTGTATTGTTCTAAATATTTAGACATTGATTGTGACATATAAGAAATGGCAAGAAATATATAACATAGTTCTACGATTTTCTTGTTATAAGCCTCTTTATCATTTTATACGTCATTAAATGCACAACATGCCTTGGTACAAAGACATGATTTGTTATTTTAAATTTTTTATTTTACGAAAGCAAAGGGTAAAAAATTATTTCATATTAATCTTAATATAAAGGTAAACGTCTAGATGTGCTACTTTACGATATTTGTAAAAGTTTAATTAAGGGTATAAATTTTAAGTTATTTTTTCTAGCTGCAATAAAGTAGCTCTATATTATGCATCTGATGAGAATATCACTTTTAAAAAAGTCTCATCTTCTCATAAGTTGTAAAAAAAACAGTAATTTTGTTTAAAGAAGGTTCAGTCTCTTAGAATATTTTTTCAAATGACAAATCGTGATAGTCAAAAGCTTTACTTAAATCAACGAAATTATAATGTAATTGAAACATGGTATGACTTGAAAGAAAAAACAGTCTCAATCCAATAAAAAAATTAGTTAAAAATGCTGCCAGATGACGTTCTTAATTTAATGAAACACGGTTTGCGCACTGTTGTTAGATAAAAACGAAAAAAGTTATGATATTTTCTTCTCTCTTAAATTTACTTCTATTAATCCCTCTGCGTACTGCAAAAAAATATTCCACAAAATGAGTTAACATATGCGCTACAGATTTTTAGTATCAATACCACAGTATTAAGTACTATTGCTCTTACTCTCCAAACTTGATTAATAATGTACTTCGACTCACGAGCTTTTTTCTCCTACCCTACTCACGCTTACACGAGCTGTACCAAGCGCCTTTTTTTCACCACACCAACAAGTTTTCAATATTTTTTGTCTCTTCTAATGTTTTATTCATGAGTGTTCAAACTATGTATTGATCTTGCAATTGTGATATTTCAATATGTTTACTATAAAGAGATATTGTCACATATAGTTCATAGAAAATAAGCATTTAGTAGAGACATGTAGATATATACCTACATGTTATGAAATCAGATTCGATCTAATTTGCACTATAAGAAATTTGTAGAGCCCACTTGCTAAAAAAAAAAAAAATTGTAAACGGAACAAAAAATCGAAAGGTCTTTCAATTTTTTCCAACATGAGACATGCCTTACTAACGAACCCATACAAAACAGAAGCTATGACAACTGCAGTTTTTTACACTCGTTTTTTAAATCCTCCATTTATGTGTATGATATTACTTTAACCGTGTTTTCTCTACAATGAGACATATCCTAAATAAAAGTTGTGTGTGCCATACATTCGAGACCTAATATAGTGTACGAATGAGAAAAATTGATAGTAAAAAAAAAAACTGCCATGCTTTTGTATCGGGGAAACACAGCTTCATTCGAGTCATTTTACGCGTTCAGTCGTGACTACTTATTGACAGTTTCTTTTCAATGATGTTAATTATTTCAAGTAGACAAGTAATTCTTTTCGAAGTTCCTTGATTGACTGAATATTGTAAATTGTTTTCTTTTGTAAGTATGCAGATAGAATAGTTAACTTTTTCACTGGTAGTTTTATACTGGAAGTCTTAGAAAAGTTTAATTTTTGTTGTGACAAACATTTGCACACAATCTCCTTAAAAATCGACAAAATAATTGAATTAGTAATCATCACAGCATCATACAAAACTGTTTTTTGAATAAAAAAAACTAGCTTGGAAACAAAAATAAAGCATTGCTCTCTCATTAGATGGAAGCAGTCAATGTTAAAAGTGATGAGTCATTAGCTTGCAAAATTGGTGGGAAAATTGGTTTGTGACGCTAGCCCGTTGGAGACTGTGCCGTTTCCTAACGTTTGTTTTCCCTCTATAGCTGTTGCATTCGCCCAGTTCAGACCTAAAAGCGCAAATTGGTGGTTCCTGATTAAATACTTAGAGTAAAGAGAATAATATAGGGTCGTCGATTGCGGGGGTTCTTAGCCATGCAACTAACTCGTAAGATCTGCCAGTTAATGACTGACTTAGTTTAATAGTGGCTTGATATACATAGTCTTTTAGTCGACGAATTGTTGCCGAAAACGGTAGTAAAAATGAATTTCCTTACTACCTCATCCAAAAATTCTAGTTTTGGTGGCAGTGTGTAGAAATAAAAGCCATTGTTTCTTCCTATCGACGTGACACCTACATCGCGTATAGAGGGGTCAGAAGAAAAAATTGCCTGTTCCCTACTTCTCTTTACTGAAGAAAGAAATAGAAAGAGAGCATCCGTAGTGCATAAGTATTTAGTACTTACTTATGCTGCGTTTATTAATTTTTTTCAGACTGTTAGAAAAATTTTAAGTAAAAAGCACGCGTCCAACTCTGGTATGACTATAAATTTGTCGTGTGACGCATGCCATCTCTCTCGGTAATATGCTGCGTAGTAAATTTCTAATCTTAGTCTGAATATAGAATCAAATGACTTTTAAAAAATCTTATAAAAATCAAACATATGAGTTCTGCAGCAGACAATGCCCAGGAGTCTAATAAATAATTATCTTAACTTATATATATATATTCAAATGCTATTGATTTACAAAAATATTATTGAAATAATAGTTACTATTAAAATTTAAAGAATTTTTAATAAAATTAAGTTGTTCTGCCCCAAATATAACCTATTCCCATACTTGACACTATAGCTAACTACTATGTGATAACTCATGAACCACGAAATTTCAGCCAAACTAGTAAAAAAAATGGTAGGGATCACACAGAACGTCACTTCATAACCTGCTCCAGCGGTTCACTTGGTTTTACCTTGAGGAGAAACTTTACCCCCGCAAGCTGATCATCAAGCTTTGTCTTTTGTGATATGATGTACTATAATGTAAGCAAGAAAGTTCAACCCTAGGTGGCTTCTAAAAGAACCGATGAGATTAATGGTTAAATAGGAAATTTCAAGGGTTAAACAGAGAAAGTAAATACTTATAATGGCTCTGAAAAAACGCTTGTGGTAAACTTTTCAGATATTCCTTGTTGTTATTCTTGATGATTAAGAGCTGACTTGTGGTTAGCTTGACTCTTACCCTCGGAGTCTGCGTGTACGGGGACCGTGCTGGAGGGAGATATGCCGCTGACCAAAAAAATATTTCATTTTTGGGTCATTCTCCAGATAAATAACGACTCATCGTTTGTCATAAACGTGGACTTGGAGAATAAATTCAATCGAAGCAATCACTTACCAAGCTCTACTTGAGGGTGGAGTTACATTTTTTTTTTTTTTCCACATACTATACAAACACTTTTGACATTGATGTCTTTCACCAAGGAGACATAGCTCCTTCTAGTCTCTCGAAAAATTATCTTTAGAGAATCGAGTTAATGTACGTCCATTGAAGAAGTATCTGTTGTATTACTTTTATAACTTTTCTATTGATCTCTATGTAAGTAATTCCATGTTAGTTTGTTACCAACTGATTTTTCAACAGTAATTATTAAAGGTATAAAATCTAGTAAGGTCGTTTAAGTCTTTGTCTTGAAAAAAAAGAAGTTTTGTTCAACAGCAAAAATAAGGAGACAGTTTTACTAGACATTTTTCTAGAACAAAGAACATACCTAAGCTCACGCTAGCAGGTATCATTAAAAAAGTGAACCACGGTAATTTTGAGTAGGCAAGATAACAGGTATCAATTATAAACGTTAGTGATGTCATGAACGCTACGCGTACAGCAGCAAACTAGAAGCCATTATGTTGTTCGTCAGTGCTCGTGAGACTTGTCATCTAGCACCTACGCAGTTATATAGTAGTAGTTGTAGCAAAATGTCCGATGATGAGGATGAGAAAGAGAGAGTGGCGTATTATTATAAAGTCTAAGAAGAGCGTAAACAGTATGGCTACATTGACAGAGCTAGCACAAAACTGGTCCTTTGATGAAGTTACTACTGTGGACATTTAGGGTTTGGGAAAGGAATAAGAAAAGGGATGGGAGGCCTTTCATTACTGGAGGGCGGTAGGAAGACATAAGGCAATTTTTGCTGCGAAGAGGTTGCCTCAACGCTCCTCAAAGAGCATTGTGCGGTAAAAAAAAAAAAAAACGTGTGAACAAGCGGCTAAGCTTATGCAAAAACTGCATTTTTGCATTTAAGGCACGACTGACTGATACCAGGGAATATATTACTGTTTTCACCACACTGTATAAAAAATTGGTACTGTTTGGTGTAGGGTTGGTAAAAAAATGTACATATTCCTACATGATAAAAAGAAAAAAAGCCTTAAAACACAATAATTATCGACGTTATTTGTATTTATTCTGTTAAAGCTAGTATTTTATTGTTTCTTGCGATTTATGGCGTTAATTATATCCTTCAGAAATAAATTTTCATTACAGAAAAGTTATACTTTTTAAGATCTATAAGTTTAACGGTCATTTTACAATCTGAAATGTTAATGAAAAAAAAAACAGGTGTGGGTCTCGGGACCCCCGGCAGATATGAAGCATCAAAGAATACGTTATTAAACTGGGTTGTATTATTTATTCATATTAATTTTCTATAAGACGCTGAGCTCATCACCCCTATGCAGTACATGATTTTTTAATTTTTCACTTGAGAGTAAAAAATCGGGCACAGATATAAAAAATGTAAGGTAGAAATGTGAGTATGTAAGAAGAAGAGTGTATAAATAAAAATAAGCAGCATAAATTTAAAAAATGGTTTTTGTTTATTTTTACTAATTCATGGAAAAGTGTAGCAGTATAAAAATATACAGACTATTTATAAAAATACTTATATTTTCTACCGTAATATACATTAAGTTTGATCATTGGTAGCATTGGTGAATTCAGTAATGGTAACATTCGATGATGTTTGCGATGGAATAACAGTAATAATAGGTCGATGATAACGAAAATATGTAACAAAAATGCTTGCATGCGACGACGCGGCTCTGGCGTGGTGCGCTAAATAGCTAGGAGTGGGGAGAGAGCCCGCTTGGGTCTGGCGCTGCTGCGTGGCGACGCGGTTCTTGCGTGACGACGCGGCTCATGCGTGGCGACGCAGCTCTGGTGGGGCGATGCTAGCTAGGAGTGGGGGAAGAGCCCGCTTTTACCCCCCAAGCGCCGCAATAGATGTTTCACATCAACAACACAAGTAAGTGAGGTAAAGGAAAACGATAATTCTGCAATTTTTTGGCATTTTTGTGATTTATAGCCCAAATTTAACATCATAACTTTATGTGATGATACAAAAAAGTTGTATTTCGACGAGATCTTCAACCATCATGTTTAATGTATTACCTCTTGTGACAAACAAAAAATTTAGATAGGGGAAAACGACTTTTCTTCATTTTACAAGCTTTTTCGGCCCTTGTAACGTAAGTGTTACCTCGTGTGGTACATCCTAGGTAAATATGTTTTACGCAAAAAAGTTGTCTAACAATAAAATCCACAATTCTTACGATCAATATCATAATTTAAAGTACACAACAAATAATTTAAATGAGAAAAAACTACGTTTTTGTGATTTTGGAGCACTTTTTGGCTCACAGAAAGTTTGGGTTACATCCTGGACGAAAATTTGGAATACAAAAAAGTTGTACTTAAAATATAGCTACAGTCTTGTGATTCACATTTAATCTCAAAAATATAATGCTCTAAAGTTGTAGTTAAAAAACTATTTTTTTTACTGAAAATACCATTTCAAAACGACTGCCATTTTTTTCCAAAAGAGAAAACCTTACGGATCTTAAGCCATCACGTAAGACATAAAAGACAAAGCTATTTGTCAAATTTCAGCCCAATCTAATAAAAACTGCATAAGTTAATCAAAAAACTTTATTACGCCCGTACATATACCCCGTATATATATATACATACACCCCTGACGCTGAGGTTCACGATCGCAATTTTTTCTTAACTAAAACTTTTTTTACACAAAAACAATAAGTTTTAAAAGTACTTAAACTTTCTACTCTGGCAATAATATAAAGCACTCCTGAGTATCAGTAGTGCCGAAAAATCACATAGGTCCTTGCCTGAAAAGTCGCACGGGCCTTGATTCATTCCACAACCTGGCCAACTGAGCCACTGCGCGCTCGTTTATTAAGATTCCATGTATGACTACATATACTTAGTACTTGTATAGAAAAAAATCAGTGGACAGTGAGTGCTTGCGTACTCAAGTAACAAGTTATTTTCCTTTAGAATCATATGGCAGATAATATAATTATAAATATAAGTATACCTTTTACGAAACTATATTGTAAACAATGGTGGTGCAAATATCGTATAAATAAGTATACCTGTGTTGATTGAGTATGGTTATAATTAATATTTTAATACTTAATAAGTGGACATTATAAGTAACATATTATCGCACAATACAATATAAACAATATAGAGACTGGCCAGTACAAGACTGTAGGATTTCATCGAATCTTCGGGTGATTTCAAAACAACTTTCTACTGCCTACGCTGATTACATTTGTAACGTCACGCTTACATTTATCATATGTGCTCATGTATTTATTCCCAATTTATTTTATAGTATCTTAAATATTACTGTTACTCAGAAAATAAGACAAACCATCATGTAGTACCACTTTCTTCGAAAGCAAGGTAGTAAATAACAGTGAATAATGTTTCTTTAGGATGTTCATTACACACAGGATTTCAGACAAATGTTATTAAAGTATTAAAATTATACTCAAAATACCATAAGAAATACCCAAAAAATATTGCAGATCGATCAATCATACCACCTTTCACATGTTTAATTTTTAAATTTTGCAATTTAATATGTACTCTTATGAAAAAATCATAAAAAATTATATTTTTGAGATCTGTATGAACCTCGGAAGTTTTGTTTGTGTAAAAAGTTGCTTTTAAATAAATCCGTTTCATTTTCAAGAGGATCTATAACTCTTTTTTTTTTTTTCAATAAAACAAAACAAAAAAGGTCAAGTATGCGTAAAAGCTTGTATGTAAACTCTTCTATATAAGAAATAAAATTTTACGCACCTATTGAGGGAGGTTAAAAATGTTAAAGATTATATGTAAATTAACGCCCGAGACAGAGCTGAGGGTTGATAACGTGAAATCTAGGACATTTTTTAACCTCTGAACGTGGTGTGTATTCTATTTTTCAATAATTCTGCGTTGAGAGAACGGACTTTGGTCCTGCAAAGTGGGACGAAAGGTACTTTTTTTGGCGAAGTATGATGAAAAATAATTATTATCAGCATTGTTGCATATATTCACGCTTCTCCCACCTTCCTAACTTTTGTTCTTAATCACTAAGGAAAACTTGTCAATGAAGAAAACTCAATAAACAAGAATTACTGTATTTATACAGTAGGGAAGTTCTTTTTTTTTAAATATAAAAATCTGNTCCGGACGCTATTAGGTGGTTCCACTCGTACTTGTCTGACCGATCGCAGGCCGTTGTTGGGCTGGATGGGGTGCAGACTGATTTCCTGCCGTGTACGTCGGGTGTGCCTCAGGGCTCTTCTTTGGGACCAATTTTGTTTTTAATTGTAATAGATTCTATTTTTGCGGTGCTGTCTCATAGTACGGGAATACTTTTTGCTGATGATTTTCAGGCGTATATGCAATGCAGGCCTTCAGAGGTTGCTGGAGCTGTGGGTAGGTTCAATGAGGATATCGGGAGGGTTGTAGCCTGGGCATCTGAGTTTGGTCTTCAGCTCCATTTTGAAAAGTTACGTGCTATGCTTCTGACTACTTGTCAGAATTTAATGCGAATTGACGTTGACGCCATACCCCCTTTGCTGGCTGATGGGAAGGTGATTCCACTTGTTAGTTCGGTTAAGGACTTGGTGGTGACGTTATCGAGTGACCTTTCATGGAATGCCCACGTTGCAGCAATATGCTCAAAGGTACATGGTGTGTTGTATCGTCTCCGGTATCGGGGTGGCACTCTGTCATCCCGACTTAGAGCTGCTCTTGCTGTGAGTCTTGTTGTTCCCCACTTCGATTATGCCTGCTTAGTCTACATGGGTCTTTCAGGGTACCTGGCCACCAAGCTCGATCGTCTGTCTAATACTGTTGTTAGGTACATCTTTCGGTTGAGGAGGGATGCATCACTCTCTCAGTACTATAAAAGGCTGGGTTGGTTACGGCCAAGCTTTAGAAGAGAGTACTTTCTTGCTGTGTTTGCCTATAAACTCTTGGCCTCGGGTGAGCCTTCGTACTTGTTCGACTTACTCCCCCGATTTGCGGATGGGCTCCGTTGTTCAGCGCGTCGTGATCGGCCGACATTTATGATTCCCACTGCATTGCTATCGTCATACGCATCAGCCTTTTCGCAGAGACTTATGCGGTTGTGGGATACTATTCCACTAAGTATTAGGCAGGTTGATTCGCTGAACGTCTTTAAGACGACTCTTTACCGTTTTTATTTAGAAAAACAGGGGGACTGACTACTAAGCACGCTTATGTTCAAGATTTTAAGCTATACTAAGTCATTATGGTAAGACTGAAAATATTTTGTTACGATTAATTATTACTTGTCTTTTTCAAATCTAGGGCATACTATAAATGAAACTAAAATTAAGTGCGACCTAATGTAAATTAACAAATATATGTATATATGTATAGATTGCTATGTTAAATTGTCGCCGTTCAAACTAAATCAAAATCTGTAAAAATTCTGTAACTTTTGTTTAATACTGTCGATAATATCAATATCAAAAATCTTTGTACTTCAAAAAATTGCCATTCGGGTGTAATGCCCTTGGCATAAATAAATTAGCTTTCAAATCAAAATCAAATCGGTGGTCAGCAAACAACCGCTGCGGGAAAAGCTGTGCCCTTCGGCTAAAGTACGATCGCGCTTATTTCGTATGAGCAAATTCTGCCGCGAGTATGGGTATACCCCATGGAAAATTTAGGTAAATCAATTCGATCGCGAGGGTAAATGTACGTATTAGATAGTGGAGTTCCTTTTCTCACTGAAGTATACAAGTAACGATCATTATAAAAGCCCCGTCGAGGAAAAATCAACAAGAATCACGCTTCTCGATCCCCTCGGAGAGCCTCGAACGCTGTATATACATATATAGAAGTATAATTATACCATTCAAAAATATCGGAAGAGGAAACGAAGAAAACGAAAGAAGCTCAGAAGCTGGTCGTATCGAGTCAAGTCAATGTTCGTTTTTTCTCTCTTTTCTAATAAGTTATCAGCTAATAAAAACGAACAATCTAATCTCCTCCCTCTCATCTGTTTTCCGGTGTATAAGACGAGACTGTTTGATTTAAAAGTTCATTTGTGAAAAAAAAAAAAAAAAAAAAAAAAAAAAAAAAAAAAAAAAAAAAA